TCATGGTCCTGACAAAGTGTTGTTATTTTTCGGGTCAATCAGAAATACAATTTGGCTGCCATGGCCGCTATTTTGCTACTAAATTCTAATAGGCCGATCTCACTTAAAATTGGTCTAGGAATGATCAGCTCATGGTCCTGACAAAGTTAAGTTAACATTATACTATTTTTTACTCAAATTGGTACATATTTCAACAAAAAAAAAAAATACTGTAGACTCAGGTGACCGTTAAGGCCCATGGGCCTCTTGTATAATTTAGTGCACAAAAAATCACGCATAAAAAGTGCTAAATTAAAACCACGGCAATAATAGGTACATTTAGAGAATTCTTGTGTTTGATTTTTTGGGGGACCCTAGGATTTTTGGTTGTCTAACAGCCTGAACTTGTGATGTTGTAAGGTGTGTTCTAAACAATACCTCTTGTAGAGGTTGTAACGTCACAAACTGGGCGAGCATTTGAATCCAGACTTGATCACCATTGGAAGAACTAACCACTTCTCTCTAACCACAGGGAATCTATTGAGGCCACGATAATTTGATTTAACGAGAAACTAGCACTCATATAAAATATATATACGAACATATTATATCTACATTAAATAAGATCCACTAACTTGTATATATACCTGAAACATTATACAATGTACAGATAATTGTTAATTTATGAACTTATAATAACAGCTGTGACATCAGCAATGGACTTGTAAAAATAGTCATAAATCATGTTATTACCAATAATATCAACCAACCTTTACTTATATAACAGAGCTGACAGCAGAGGAAATGTAGCCATTCCTATAGTTAGAATATAATCGGTGTATCTGTGTAGAGCACAAGAAGGTCAAAGTGATCTACCCTTGTTCAGGCCCTACGGGAGTCAAAGTAACCTCTCATTCCTACCATCCCCACCATAGCCAATTATGTCTAGTGTTCTCGATGTAGTGTTTTTCATATAGAGTTAAAAAGGGCACAAATTCAACTGCTGCGACCATTTTATGGTTTGTAGTAAATGTTTCTAGCTGTGCAAGATAATTTGTGTTTAAGTGTATGAGTATTTTCTTCTTGTAGCCATCAGCCTTGAGAAACAAGAGGCAGATTTCAGGAAGTCGCTGACAGACTTTGACAAGGCCAAGCTTGCAAAAACTTCAGTTCAAGAGAAGAACTCTCTCCCCGACCCAGCAGGTAATAACACTATCACCAGCTATTTACATCAATCACATGAGAGTTATTTAATCCAAGCTTAAATTCTGTAATATTTAAAAAAAATAATCTATAAACAGAAAAAAGAAACGTTGCTCGCCAATTGTCAACTTTGTTTTGGAGAAAAAATACTTATTTTTGAGATTTTAATTCCAATGGCTTATTTCGAAGGATCTGTGCTTAGCAAAGTGCCTCTGCAAGGGGAGTTAACTGTCTATCTCTCAATTGAATATTTCATGAGATCAACTGTATGGGGAGCATCACAATACATTTGTCCTGGATCGTTACGTAACGAATACACCAGACTTATATACCAGGGCATCTTTTGTTTTACAGCAATAGCAGCAGAAAAGAAAGAACAGGAACATCAAAACTGTATCAAAAGTTTCAAGAAGGAGGATATGAAACGCACAGACGTCCGTGAGAAGAATAGGCTTCCCTCTCAAGACGGTATTTACTGTTAATTGCTCAGCACACAGCCATACTGCTTCAAAGGGTGAAGGGGAGATAACTGCTTTGTGCCATCCATAGTATTTTTTTTATTTTTTTTGAGCATTACCAATCGGTCCAATAAGTTTCTGTCTCCATTCTGGCCATTTATCAGAGGTCAAGGTCACGTCAGAGGCCAAGGTCATTATTGCTTTAGAACTCCAACCGGCAAGAGGGGATCTTGTTATTTACAGTAACTTTTGTACCTTGGTGTGTCGATCTCGTCTCCCCTTTGCATGAAGGGAAAAATATTGCATTAGGTTTATTATTCTTATGATTTAGAGTCTAGGTCAACAAAATTGAAATGGTAAAAGGCATCTTGATAAAACTGTCTTACCTGCATCACCCACAGGAGATATGCAATGCACAGTAATTAGGTCATTGACGTTCACTTTAAAACCCTTTCAGCCCAATGTAACTTGAGTAGACTCTACCATTCATTGATATGGATGAGTCGATTATGGTCTATAGTGGTGAAAGGGTTAAAGGTCAAATAAGTAGAAAATATTTCCAGCAAAATCTTGTCCGGGCTGTAACATTTGAACCATCAAAGGTATGATGAAACCTGAAGTGTACCGCATCCTCCACACAAGTTGTGTAGTGCACTGTAGTTTGGTATGTTTTCGATATTTTTGTTCAGAGAATCAAATCTTTAGTTTATTCTGCGGTTAATAGATAGATTGTTTTGTTTGATTGATTGATTGATTGATTGATTATGGTTTACTTTATCAAGAAACATTTTATGTTTGAATATATTTTGAGAAATGGGATCGGTGTTTACACTGGAACTTGTGTTGACCCAAGCTTATAATATTCTGACATCTCATTTCTACAGAAATTACCACACACGAAATGTCTGTTCTGACATACTCTCCAATATAACCAATATATGTGTCACACAGACTGTTGATTAGGCATGTATCTATTTCTATTGTACAGAAATGAAATTGGCATCAGATCCGTGCTATCACAAGGAGGCAATTACACTAATATACCCTGGCTCCAGCACACATACACAACACACATAGAGGCACGTCCTTAGATGACCTTAGCTGTCTATGGGATGTAAAACAATACAAAACCTAACTAATCGTACAGAAATGATCATGAGTATCCATGGTAATGCATACTGTGTTTAAAATGATAAAACAAAAATTGAAGGAAATCTTGGATTATCTTTTTATAGCATAATTCACCGTAAATGGTTGGCCTTTGAAATATTAAGACTCCTTTCTTTTCTTTCAGACATCAAGGCGGAAAAGAAGGGACAGTAATATGAACTTTCGTCTGCATTCAAAGCCTCAAGTACACTGTGGTGTTACCACTTTGAACCAATCACAGCTGCTGTTAGAACAATTTTGATAAAAAAAAACCTTTGTGATTGGTCGAGGGAAGGTCTGATTTCAGTTTCCGGGATTCATTGGTTGTTCTGGCAGGGCTTTGAAGATACACTTATGCATGAGAACAGAAATGGGCACCACAAAGGGGACACTCAAATTAATGGACCCTGAAACACAAGAAGCACTTTGCAGAGAGAGGTTTACCATACAGAGAACAAGCAAAGGAAAACATTCAATACCTGTAATATTCAAGTCGTGTTGTTATATAAAACAAAACATGTGATATAAAGAACAAATGACTGCTGATGTAATAAGACTCACTAGATGATGCCGTTTGATTATCCCCCTTTTTAGTGTTTATACATCGGACTGATGTGTTTTTACAACCACAGCATAATTGATACCTTAAAGAACAAAGATTGTAGTAGAAGTAGATGCTGAGTAGATTCTGTTCATGGGTTATGTCCCTTTCATTGTATAATTTTGGTGTCCACTCGTGATTTGTTATGCAATATTTGAAGTTTCATAAAGGGAATTTATTTCGCACAGGAAAATAAATAGAAACAAGGTAAACCATGCATGTAGATTTGACCATGCCTGTTGTAAGATCTGAATTTGACCCCTGTTGTAAGATCTGAATTTGACCCCTGTTGTAAGATCTGAATTTGATGACCTGCAACTACATGTACTTGTCATTTTTATGTGAACTTATGGAACACTGTTTTCAGCTTGTGGAGTTTATGGAACACTGTTTTCAGCTTGTGGAGTGTATGATGCATAAAGTCATTCTTTGTATCTTTTTCCTTAATGGTAACACTAACCTAAAACCTGTTACCATGGAAACCGTCATGTGACTAATAGGACAACCATAGTTGCCTGGAGACTGATGTCAGACAAATTTGTTTGTAAATAGTTGCATAAAAGTATAGACTGATGAAGCAATAATCATATGCAATACTGTTCAATAATGCTATACATAGATATTTTTTAACACTGTTAGGACCAGTTCACTGTTGCTCAAGTGTTCATTGTTTTGTTGAGATCGTTTTCCACGGTTTGATATTTAAATTGTTGACACTTAATTTAGGAAACAACCTTAAGGGATCTGACACCATTCCTAATTGCCAGCTCCTTTGGTTGGTGATTGTATCAGTGCTTTGTATGGAGAGTTCCGACATCTCTGTCTTTAAGGTGAACTGGATTGCCTGTCATGCTTTTCAAACTCTTCACTACTAGTCTCTGCTCCAAATACATGGTACTTAAGTGCCGCTTGTGGAGGGTTTTAATTACAAGGGCAGATAATCCAGTCTATCTTTGAGAGTTTCTGTACTAGAATTTTGGTTGGAGGTGAAGATTTCTTTGGTTTGAGATTAACTGTACTTTTGTTGGAGATTAATTGATATCGTTTGAGAGTACAAATGATCTTTGACAATACCTGTACCAGTACTTTTGTAGGGTACCAGTAGTAGACCTTTGGTTAGAGAGTACAAAGGATCTTCTTTGACAATACCTATGCCAGTACTTTTGTAGGGTACCAGTAGTAGACCTTTGGTTAGAGAGTACAAAGGATCTACTTTGACAATACCTGTACCAGTTCTTTTGTAGGGTACAAGCAGTAGACTTTTGGTTTGAGAAAATTTGTCCTTTGGTTTAGAAGGGAAGTTCTGCAGATTTCAGAAAAGTGTAAAATGAACATTTTAATTGAGATATTGACAGTCTTTGTAGGAATTAAAAACATGAAATGTTTGTTTGCAAAGTATAAAATTCAGTACTACTTATTTCCATATTCTTTTCCAAAAGGAAGCAAAAACTTTGGTACTTTTGTTCAACAATGAAACTTAATGAAACTTTGATGTGCTGCACTGATTCTAAGAAGAAGGCAGAAAATGGAGGTTATTGATATTTACTAAGGTCATAATAACTGGGCATTTACAGTAGATTAGAGTGGTCAGATACCTGAGGAGATGACCGTTAATGCTGACCAGTGACAGTAGTGCTAGTCCATTTTAGTTTTTGTGATTTAGTTTGGTTCATTGTCAGCGTTGTTTCATTTTTTCTGTTACTTTGTTAATTGGATCTTCATGAATAAAACATGAAAATCCTTTTTCCTGAAGCTTTCCCGTTTATGAAAGGTAAATGTTGTCATTGTTGTCCTTACAAGATATCTTGTGGAATAATCCAATTGTTTTCTAATTTGAATTTACTACTGAATCACCAAATATTTGAAGATATTTACTGAGCAGATATTTGTATAAAGGTGACAAGTCAAAACAATCGCGTCCAGAACCATGAGTAACTAGTGTGTATATCATAACTTTCATATTTAATCTTTTCACTATTTCTGAATTAATCCATTTTTTTTGTGCTGCGTTTAGCAGGCCAGTCTGGTGTTAAGCTGTACATGTGTTTTTGCCAAAAATTGATTTATTTCCGTAAAAAATATGAATTTATTCATGCGGAACTGTTATTTTATATCTTTAAAGGACTGATTGAAAATTTGTTTTCTTTATTCCAAAGTTTTCAATACCCGGTATTTGAAATGAGTTTCAAAAATTTTCATTGAAGAATCATTGCACATCGCATTATCAAAAATAATTTGAGTTTCTTCAGTTCAATTTAGTAATCTTTTTAGCAATAAAAAAATTCAATAAATTGTCAAAGTGATCTTTTCCTTTCAGCCTTTTTGACCAAAGTTTGGTCTGACTAGAAACAAGGCCCATATTTATTGTATTTTTTTTTCACAATTAACGTGTAGTAAGATTTGTTTAGATAAAACATTATTTATACCACATCTTTATGGCCAGACTTGATAAATGCTTCTTCATGTGCCTTGAACAAACCATTCTGCATAAAAATTTCAAAGATCAAAATTATGATAACTATGAGTTCTCTGTCTGGTCCGAGTTTCCACATAACTTTTCCCATAAAATTTTGAAATAGTTGTTGTAAAGATGTATTTTTGAAGAATTCAGACAAATTTGTTTTGTTGTTAATTACAGTTATGTATTTTTGATGGGTCCAAACTGTTTAAGATTAAAATGACTATATTTTGGAGTACAATATACTCTCTAAACCAAGATATATTTTTGATTATCCACATGTTAATGTTACACCTATGCCATAGATGTTGTCCTGCTGACCAGCCAGGCACACTTAATGTACAGTATATAATACTTCCATCTGCATGTAGTCTTTCTACTTTCATTAGGCATAAATGCCAACATTTTCAATAAAAGCATTAAATTCAGATTTTATTTTTTATTTATTTTTTCATGGGATTGATTCCTTGTTACTAATCAAGGTTGGTTTGGTTTGAGCTTTACATCCTTTTAACAACCATTGTTGTTTAAGAACAAGTCAGGTTTTGGTGGTGGAGAAAAGCCCCCAACCTGCAGCCAGTACCTGGACACTGCCATACATAGGCCTCGTACCAATGACTACAGTAGCGATTGTGGACAGCCGGGTGCCTTAACCACTCGACCACCACAGGCCCTGCTTTTCAGAGATTGTTGTAATGGTCATAAAATATCTGGTTAAAGATTGTAACACACATATGTGACACCTGTCTCCAATATCATAAAGTATACTCTGTGAATGGTTCCATAGGAATGCATTTCATGATATTTAAGTTTTAGTTCTAAAATACATATTTGTTGGATTTGGAGAAGTAACAATTATACTGAACATTTAAACAGGATCACGGTGTAGCCATTTATATGAATTGACTGGCATTCATGATCTTTTTACTGCAAGGACACTTGTCATTCACAGGGTTACTTGCTGTGTCCATTTGTACAGCTGGGTAGAATAGAGTACTGTTGTAAGGATGAAATAAATGAAGCTAACTCAATAAGCTGACACGCTGCCAACTGCTCTATGCTTTCCTCATAGGTCCTGATTAAATACTAGACACATGTAATTTGATATAGTTTACCTGTTTCAGTTAATGTTGGTTTACATGTCTCCACTTTGTCGGGCAATGCTCTAACAAGGACAAGTTTATAAGCTCACTATCATCTGATAGTGGGCTATTCGAATCACCCTTTGGGTGGTTCATCTGTTCATCACCTGTCCTTAAACAATTATTGTTATGCTATATTTCAGAAAGCACTGGAGGGATCTTTCTCAAATTTCATATGTTAATTCCCCTTGTTGTGCATGTTTACTTTTGAGACTGATCAGATAAAACAAAAATGGCCGACAGATGGCTATCTTGGATTTTGATAGTGAATGTTTGTTATCTCTATTTCTCAGGAAGTACTTGATGGAGCTTTCTCAAATTTGTGATGTAGGTACCCCTTGGTCCTTTCTTGTGCATGTTCACCTTTGAGACTGATAGAGTAAACAAAATGGGTAACAGGTGGCTATCTTTGGTTTTGAGAATTGAAAGTTTGTTATAGCTATTTCTCATGAAGTCCTGGAAGGATATTTCTCATGTTTCATATGAAGATTCTTTTTAGTCCCTAGTTATGCATGTTTTATTTTGAGAGTAACCACAAAAACAAGATGACCACAGGGGGGTGGGGGGGGAGGGGGTGGTCATCTTTGACTTTGACAATTGAAGAATATTATGACTATTTCCTAGGAAGTACAGATTTTCTCATATTGCAATGATTGGTTCTATTTCTTTAACATAAGTACTGTACTAGTAAATATGACAAAATCACTTTGAAGAGTTGTCTTTTAAACTTAGCAGTAAGAAGTTTAGATAAAAATTACTTCAAGGTGCATTTACTGTTTACATGACTCCATCAATCAGAAAAGAGAAAAGAAAAGATGGAGCTGACATAGAACTAACAAAGATTGTACATGGTTGGTGCAACGATCCCTCTGGGATCTCTTGTTCTATAAAGGCTATCTTCATCAAGAATCTGTTATTGACAGTTAATAATAAATAATGCTAAGGCCAACCTCAAGTGTTCTCCTTATCACAAGATATTTGTTTTGGATAATTGCTTAAAATACAGAAATATTGCATGATATTTGTCAAAATGTTCTTAAAACTTCAATGTACAAACCACTCCACAGTCAATTACTTTTTAGGTCACCTGAGACAAAGTCTCAAGTGACCTATTGCGATCGCCTTTTGTCCGACGGCGTCCGTCGTTCGTCGTCCGGCGTGCGTCCGTAAACAATTTACATTTTCGACTTCTTCTCCAAAACCCCTAAACCAATTTCAATGAAATTTTGCAGAAACCTTCCATGGCCAAAGGTCAACTAAAATCGTCAATTATATGGTCCCCAGCCCCCAGGGGCCTGAGGGGCGGGGCCAAAAAGGTTAAAATTGACTAAAATTACAAAAATCTTCTTCTCAAGATCCAGATATGGTAGAATCAAATACTCTTCATAGATGGAAGGGTCTTAAGGTGCTTAACCAAAATTGTGAATTTCATGACCCTGGGGTCTCACGTTTCCCCCTGGGGAGGGGGTAAACTTTACTATAGTTTATATAGGGAAATCACATTTTGGACACATTTTCAGTATTGGGTAGCAGTTTGATAGTATGCACATATCAGCCCTGACTGACCCCCCGGGGCTGATGGGTGGGGCCAAAAAGGGTTGAATTGACTGAAATATGGTAGAATCAAATACTCTTCATAGATGGAAGGGTCTTAAGGTGCTTTACCAAAATTGTGAATTTCATGACCCTGGGGTCTCCTGTTTCCCCCTGGGGAGGGGGTTAACTTTACTATAGTTTAAATAAGGAAATCACATTTTGGACCAACATTTGTTTAATTGCCATTGGAAGTAATTCAATTTGGGTTAGCATTATCTGTATTGGATAGCAGTTTGATGGTATGCACATATGAGCCCTGACTGACCCCAGGGGCTGATGGGTGGGGCCAAAAAGGGTTGAATTGACTGAAATTTCAAAAATCTTCTTCTCAAGACGCAGATATGGTAGAATCAAATACTCTTCATAGATGGAAGGGTCTTAAGGTGCTTTACCAAATTTGTGAATTTCATGACCCTGGGGTCTCACATTACCCCCTGGGGAGGGGGTAAACTTTAAGTTTGGACTAGTCTAGACACATTGATGAAGGGCTAGCGAATAAATCTATTCAACTAGTTCTGTGGACTATCAAGAAAATATAGTTAGTGTGGTACCCTGTCTTTGCATCCTCGATATCCAGGGGTTAGCTCACTTTCGCTCTCAACATCCTCAATTTCCAGGGGTTAAGATCACCTAGAGAGCGAAAGTGAGTGTAACCCCTGGATGTAACTCCTGGAAATCGAGGATGCTGTTTTTGATGATCTATTGAACATGTAATTTGATTCATAATAAACATGACACAATCGCACAGCTTTAACTATTCCTTAACCCATAGGGCCCGCAGAGGCCAAGTGGTTGAAGCGTCCGATCGTGTACGATCACTAGCCCTTCACCACTGGGTCACGGGTTCGAGGCCTACGCGGGACAGTCGCCAGGTATTTACCTGTAAAGTATTTCACAGGGGATAATACTTACTTACTGCCTATTACGCCCGATGGCGTTCGGGCAGCAACAAAGTTTTTTTACAACTTCCGATCTTTTGTTAAACGCTCGATAGTGCCCTAGCTGTGATCCATGTCACTGAGCTCCGTTTCCACCATGTGTCGCCACGTGGTTTTTGGGCGACCTCTCTTCCGTTTACCTTCAGGAGTCCAGTGGACTGCAACCTTTGTGATGGAGTCACCTTCCTTCCTTAGCACATGTCCATTCCACCTCCAGCGTCTCTTGATGATTTCTCTCATACACTCCGTGTTGCACTGTCTCAGCAGTTCATCATTGGAGATTACTCTTGGCCAGACAATCTTCAGAATTTTTCTCAGTCTGGTTGTGTGAAATGTTGACAATTTCGACAAGTCTTCCTCTGTCATCCGCCAACATTCCTAACCATATAAAAGTGTTGATAGCACACAGCTCTGATATATACGCAGCTTGGTTCTGGTGCTATACTGTGCTGATTTCCACACTTCTCTTAGACTTATGAAGACAAATCTGGCCTTGTTCAATCTGTTAGCGATGTCCTTGCTAGCTCCTCCATCCTTGCTGATTGTGCTTCCTAGGTAGGTGAATGTATCTGTGCACGTGAGGTCAGTATCCCCTACATGTACTGGTGATGGTGCTTGCACATTGAGGGTCATTACTTCAGTCTTCCTTTGGTTGATCTTGAGTCTAACTTTGTTGACTGAAGTTGTTGAGTCGAGTTGTCTTCTCCTGGATGTGTTGGTATGAATGAGAATCAGAGCAATGTGATCTGCGAAATCCAGATCCTCTAGCGCTGAGAACGGTGTCTAACGTATTCCTCTATGTACGTGTTGTCCTCCTCATGACCCAGTCTATGACAATGTTAAACAGGATCGAGGACATGGCATACCCTTGCCGCACTCCAGTCTTGACTTCTAAGCTGAGGTCACTGTTCCCAACACTACATTTGAAGGAGGTATAAAAAAAACTTCTGATGACATTAACCATCTTAAGTGGTACCCCATACGTACGCATGATTCTGTGGAGGCTGTCTCAATGAATACTGTCAAAGGAAAGGCTTTTTCAAAATCAATGGAGTTTATGTAGAGTTGTCTTTGCCATTCTGAACACTGCTCGATGGCGTTTCTGAGTGCAAACATTTGGTCAGTACATTCTCTTCCCTTTCTAAATCCAGCCTGTTCCTTCCTCACCAGCGTGTCTATTCCATCTGTTATCCGCCTTACAATGATTTTACACAATATCTTGCTGGGTATAGAAAATAAGGTTATTCCACGCCAGTTGTTACAGTCACATATCGATCCTTTCTTTGGCATTTTTGCAATTACTCCTCTGTTCCATCCTGATGGTATCTTTTCTTTCTGTCGTATTATCTTAAATAATGGTTTTAAAATGGAAGCTGCGAGTTCTGGGGCAGCCTTGAACAGTTCATCATTTAAGTTGTCGTGGCCTGTGGCTTTTCCATTCTTCATTAACTTGATAGCTTTAATGACTTCTTCTCTAGATGGTATGTCCGTGCTGACATCTTAGTGGTCTCTCTGCTTCTTCCACCGGTGGCTGCCTGTTGAAAACTTTTTAAAGTGTTCTGTCCATCTCTTTTCCTGCTCTTTTTCAGTTGTCAATAGTCTTCCTTCTTTGTTCTATATGAGTGTGCTGTTGTTTGTGCGGCACTTCCCAGTGATGTTTCGTAATCTTATATACAGTTCCTTGCTCGTTGCGGGCTGCTGCTTCTTCTGCTTTTGACGCCATGTCATAAAGACTCTTCCTTTTGTCTACTCTTACAAGGCTCTTCACAATTCTGTGTGCTTCTCTGTACTCTTCCAGATATCTTTCTACAGGGGATACTAGTTGCTTTAAAATCTCTTTCATTGAATTAGAAATATATTTTGTCTGTCGTAAAAAAAACCACAAAAAATAACATTGCTTTCAGTATGTCCTTATTTGACAGTGGGTTGATTAAAGTTCTATGCTAGAAATTTGATTTGTTTTGTGCCTGATGCTGTAAGACGGCCCTTTGCAGTAAAAATGACGAAAACTGTTTAAACTTCAATCACCGGACTGACAAACAGGAGGGCCCATTCAAACGTTTTTAACAACGCTGACAGGCAAGGCGTATTCAAAATTAATAAATACAACAATTTCAGCATGGTTTATTTATTGATCCAAGTTGATGCGATATATTTTGGTAGCCATTTTGTTTTGCAGTTAGGTTTAAATACCTGCCTCAATATTTACAAGTACGTGTAGGCGAAGGCACGGCAAATACATGTGCTGGAAACATTCGGAAAGATACAAGGCAAAGGGCTTATATATGTATATACTTAGCGCCACTTGAGCTGTTTTGGCACGATGCTTTTCAAAGTGTATACGTCACGTGATGAAGTTTTTGGGCACAAGGAAACCATGGCACTGCGAACATAAAATACAACCTCACCCGGAACTGGCACGTGCCAATCCCCGTCCATGAGCATCTGATATCGTGACCGCTCGAAAGGTATATTTGCAAAAGTGCAGAGAAGATGGTTGATTTCAAGAGAGTTAAGGGATGTTAAGGTCAAATTCAACACCATTTTCGGATTTTGTTTGTTTCTATGAAAACACCGTATTCAGTCACAACCTCTGAAGTCGAATCTTAATCACCCCTCACAACCTGTACACATGTAGTACTGAAGACTACGTTGAAAGAAAGTCTATGTATGTTTCCCGCCGTGTTTGACTCGTATGATCGTACCCAACTACCTTGATTTCAGTACCCCCGAATATGACCTCTAGATCAACTGCGCGTTCCTTATCGCCTGTGAGATCAGGCATTTCTACGACTAGGCAACCACATTTCTCTACGCCGTCTTCATCTGTGTATTTTAGTCGCCGTTTGGACGACTTGAAAAACTCAAAAATAATGCCTTTCTGGTTGGTAATGATTGGCGTATATGTTTCCCGCCAGATTTCGTTATGACCTATGACCTCTCCGGTTTCCGCCCAAGTCTGGAAAATGTGTTTGCATAGCACCATTCCGTCCGAGTCGACCTTGAGATCGTCTCTGTGTTCACCTTCCTCAAAAGGGAGATATGACCCAACTCCGTACGAGTACCGACAGATCCGCTGGCAGATGGCGCTGGGGTCGCAGCCAAATGCCACGGCTCCTTTAACAACAGACAAACTAGCTTCCTCGGGAATGAGGACTGTCACCTGTTCGCCAAACTCCGACCGGATCGAGTTCTGAAGGCGGACCGACTCGGCAAACCCACCAACAAGGAACATATATTTTAAGTCCTTTAATTTTGGCCTTTGAAGAAGATGTGTCACGTGATCGTTTATTTGTTTAAGCGCATCGCAGAACAAAGCTGTGACCACCTCAGAAGTCAACACAAGTTTTCCCGATGAGAACTTAATCTGTCCGCCCTCCGCCGCGGCGTACGATTTGATATATTCCTGCACAGACCGGTCCTCGTGACGAAAATTACAAAAATTATAAGGGAGCGACACGCGCACACTCTCGCATTCACCACGTTTCTTTATCTCGAAGTCCTGTAACAACTCGACATAGTCCTTGGGAAACTCGCGCTGGAATGCGGCAAGAAACTCTGCGCCAAAGATCTTGTCAAGGAGGGCGATGAACTGACGGTCGATGACGGTTCCACCCCAGGCACCACCTGTGGCGCGGAACAGCTCCCGAATACGACCATCTTTCCGGACCTTGTGTGCTACAATATCTATGGTTCCACCTGTAATTGAGGTAAATAAATGTGTAAGTGAATAGTGAAAGAACCTTCACCATGCGCAAGGCAGTGTAAACTGATTGCTTTGTTTACAAACTGAAGAAGTGTTAAAATAACTATTCGTTTTCGAAAATTCCTGCATGATAAAAACTCAGAATTTGTAATGTTGCTTTTTCTCCCACAAATCTTATTGTCTCTCTGCTTACCTCCAGCGTCAATCACGAGGTATTTAGTTCCGGGTTCAAAGGTCAGCATTGACACTTGTTCATTTTCTGTTTGGACGAAGGTGCTGACTGGAAGTGATCGGCAGTTGAGTGATGCTGCTTCCGGTTCTAATGCTATAACAAGTTGGTTACTGTGCGTTGTGTCTATAAGACCACCCTGAGAGAAAAGAGCATTCATCAAAAATACAAAGAAGATCATTGACCAAAAATAGAAAGCATCTTCATAACTACATTGATATGATATACGAATAACATTTTGTTCTGGATATGTTTCAGAATAATTACAAAATTAACAATTATGGTGGTGAATTATTGGATCCAATAGAATACGCGTATACTCGCGAAAATGAAACCGGAAGTATACGTACCTTATGCGCCGCTTCTCTCATAAACTGTTTGGCGTTTTCGTCCCATATGGCAGGTACTGTAATGACCCAGCGGACGGACTGTGGGTCGGGCTCGTACCCCAGGGTCACGCTCAAATGACGTAGGAAATGAGACTTCATGAAACCCAAAGATTTGGCAAAAACGTCCACGGCAAGCTGTTCCTTACCGGAAGTGTCCTGTAAGGTTATGTCCGTCTTCAGCTCCTGGCGCAACAATAAAACACACAAAAAATAAGTGTAACATTAGATCTCGTGCCATTTTACGCTTGACATTTTCCAATGAATGTGCAGGTGTTTTTTTTTATTAGGTAAACTGAAGATTCCTTTTTAATATGATCAGGTTATATTGTTATGAATATATTCTATCGGATATTTATAGTATGATCGCTGCACGGGAAAACAGGTTTGCCCCAATAAGCTTATTGGTACAAGATAACGTTTATTCAATCGGTGCTAAGTTTGAGGAAATTTTCACACACTTAACTATATATTTAAAACAGAAACACCACCCTGTAGTGAGAAAAGCCCGCCCTTAAATGATTCATTTACATTGTAGCCAGTTAGTTCTGGAAAATTCCTCTCACAAAACATTCACGTAACGAGTTTGACTCCCATAGGAGCACTTGAGGCCAAATGCTCCAACGTCAGACTTCCAATAACTCGTGGGCTTTCCAGAAGGCTTAGCCCCATAACTCCTCCAACGGCCGCACTGAAGAAACCAAGTAACATTCCAATAACACCAATATCACAGAAAATCCTCGAAGTGCTAAGTGAACCAGGTTTGGATCAAATTAATTGGAAATTAACAACCCATGAATTTCAGCAGACGTTATAATGGACGCAATGTAGCCCTAGGCATGGACATATTTTCCGTTCTTGGAAATGCAGATACCATCTCCTAGGAAATGAATTAACATTTGGCGGTAGACCGACGCTGCTCTCCGAAGCTGTATCAGCTGATGTTATCGGCGGCCACATTGTGAACAGAATTGTCAGCATAACGAATCATTCAAATTTTCCAAAATATGATCTTCGAACTTTCTGGGTTTAGCTACATCATTTTTATCTTGAGCCAATCATGCCATGTTTAATTGGAATTGGATGATATTGAAAATATGTTATTTGATAAACATATAATTTTGAAATTGTAGTTAAGCTCAACAGAATGTATTACCGTTGTTGTGCACACAATATTGCATAAAAAAACTTGAGCTGGCTGGCTAACAAGCCTGAGGCAGCCACTGTCAGAAAATTTGAAAGGACATCTGATATTAAACCTTTAGGGATACGATGAAACGATGACGGAAGATGGTCGATTTGTTGCGTCCGTGATTACATTCTTCTCAATAGCATTATTTACATAATTTCATTTATTTTTTATTTATGTTTGCTTCCTATTGTCTCTGACCAGAAATTTGCACCAACAGATGCATCAACGTAAACGTCAACCGTCTAACAATGCATGGCGCTTTAGTGTTGATGTCCTGTTAATAATTTATTAATTCATTCACGTGCTTTAGTCTGGAAATCTTCTATTTACCTGGCGAGTTTGTTAAATTTTTACACACTAGTATGATTCCTCATCCTATTTAACGAAATGACTAACCCTGGCAAGTATCGATTTCGATGTTTACAATCGATACTTTCGAACACGTGTGTTCGTATTTATAATTGACCGGAATGCAATAGACATTAATAATAAATTGCAAAGAGAAATCGATACCGGCCCACGCGCGCACGTCGATCAATTACAGAAACACGACACAAATACCATGGCAACGCATGTATTGTAATATCCGTGACAGGTTTGTTACCTGGTCTTGTGAACACCATTGTTAAGAGTTTGGGTCAATATCGACCCCACAAAAACAGCATTCCCTGAAACAAAAGTTTTCTCGTTTCCAGAAATCCAATGACACCGGTACGATTGTTTGTGTCAAGTACGCGTGAAGGACGTGCATTATGAACCATTTTCATTGCTTCTAGTGGTGATTGGACTCGTTCGTTTTCTACCTGAAGACACGTATAATGTGTCTAACAAGCATCCCGGGGGTTGCATAACGCGATCGCTATTCCCGGTACAGTCTCTAACACCAATGAATTGCGTTGTACATAAAATGACTTTCGCAACAAAGAACTGAATCCGGATACGTGATAAATTGTATATATTAACATCATTAGATTATGATGGAGCGAAAAGATGTCCGGATACCGATACCGTTAAGAAACCAGCTGCCTAATAACACACATCATTAGACATGAGTTGCATGTCGATTCCTTTAATTGACAATTTCATTTATTTGGTAATTTTATAGACATTTTAAGATTTTGAATTATAGAGTTTAATTTCTATAAAAGAAAACATGTTCCCAGACAAAGTTGTCGCGTGATGGCGCTGCCTAATAACACACATCATTAGACATGAGTTGCATGTCGATTCCTTTAATTGGCAATTTCATTTATTTGGTAATTTAATAGACATTTTAAGATTTTGAATTATAGAGTTTAATTTCTATAAAAGAAAACATGTTCCCAGACAAAGTTGTCGCGTGATGGCGCTTTAAAATGCAGCTTTTTGCGGATCGTTTTAATGTAATATTACTTTCTATTATGTGGCAACTTGAATGCGTTTGAAACGTGTTTGCGTGTTATTGTCGAGGTGATTCTTGTGACACATTGCCGTGAATAGTTAGCGTAACTTACCTGAAATTGTATGGCTGTTAATGTTGTTTGTTGAACGCAATGTTGCAAATGTGTGACCTTTATCATAGTTTGAAGAACGAAATTTTGTAAACATGTGACTGTTGACAATGTTTGTTGAATGCAATTTTCCAAATGTGTGACCCTTGACGTATTTGTAGACGCAATTTTGGAAATATGTCTGTTGACATTGTGTAAAGTATTTTACTGAAAAAAGCATAATGTTTCGGTGTAAATTTGATGTCACAATGTCGTAGATTATAAGAAAATTCATTTGATGGCAGGTACATATTTGCCAAAGTGTGACATTCATTAACATTACCAGTTTTTGTGTGACATATTTATAAAGTGTGACAAGAATGTGTGTTACCATACCTTATTGTCGTAGAGGTTCATCTTAAACCTATCAAAGTAATAGTACTCCGCCGCCTCTTCTTCCGACAGATCATTGTATTTCGACACAGCCTCAAAACCGAACGCCTCGAACTGTCCATCAGGTTTAAGGAGGAGAGAGGTAGGGGTCTTGTGGAGGAGGAAACCTTGCGTCTGGCCCCAGTTCTTGTTGGTATATATGACGTCACGATTGGACACAAAAGTGTAAGCATATCCACTAAAAGTCGTCCCAAAGTCTATAGCAGCCACAATTTTGTACGGGTCCTCCTCGGGTTCAACCACCTCCTGTCCGATATCCGGAGTATCTGTGGCGCCCTCCTGCGCGGGGGCTGGGTCCTGCTCACACTCCGGGTCCTTGCCAGAGTCGCCATTTTGTGCGTCCTTGGCACTGTCAGCCATTTTTAGCACTGCCTGTCTTTGTTTCCGTAGGAAGCAGACGAGGTACTCCGCACTGAGTATCTGGACGCGTGCCTACTTTCCAGTTAATCGATTTTTCCCGGTTCCATCTCAAATCCTTGTGTAGTTGCCACATTAATTACGACCAGATCGATATTGGTTGATAGTCCCTCCCCGACACAGTCCTCACCATCCTCGATCCCAGCGACAAGGCGACACCGACCTGGTGGACCACACTTCGGACACAACTGTCTGAGGATTATGTGCTGACGGATATACTTGTACTTCCAAACCGACTCTAATCATATGCATGAAGTGCCGACATGGCGTGGTCTTCAGAGATCTAACTGAGGAAATTTGATATACAGACAGAAAGAACACGTCAACAACCGGTACTGGACTAAATAAAACGGTTCCAAGGTTAGTACCGAGGGCAGACGACACTCCCAGGCGTCCTGGATATAGCGGGGAGCCGATTATCATTGGCACACTAACAGGAACACCTTAACGAGCAAGGTAAGGTCACATAGACACGTTACATAAGTAGTCCTACTTTAAATCTGGTATGACATGTCCCTGTGGGTACAAAATAACCCTGCTACACGATATTGCAAGAGTCAAAGGTATTTCATGTCTTTTAAAGAGACTATTTCTATAGGAGTTTAAGTGTCTTGAATTGTCGTTTCTTGTAGACATTATTGTGTCGCTGACACTGCCCCTGTGTACGGAGGGGATGGTTTGTGGAGGGGGATGACGCCTTTGGGTCGTCTCGTATTGCGGTGTGTGGCCTGTTTTAGGCCATTTATTTCTGTATACTTTAACTATGGTATTAGAGCATCCAATTCTACAATCCGTCTGATTTACCAATGCTAACACCCCTATGACTTACCAAAGCTACCATCCCTATGCTTTACCAAACCTACCATCTCTATGATTTACAAACATACCATCCTTATGATTTACCAAACCTACCATCCCTATGACTTACTAATGCAACCACCTCTATGAATTACCAAACTTACCATCCATATTCCTTACCAATGCAACCATCCCTCTGATTTACCAAACCTATCATCTCTATGACTTACCAAAGCTATCATCCCTCTGATTTTCCAAAAAATATCATCCTTACGACTTACCAAAGCTATCCTCCTATGGCTTACAAAAGCTACTACCACCACTAACATACCCCTGATTTACCAAAAATACTGTCCCTCTGATCTCCCAAAGCTTCCAATCTTATGACTTACCAAAGCTACGATCCTTATGACTTACCAATGTTTCTATCCCTATAACTTACCAATGATTTACCAATTCTACCCTCCCTCTGATTTTTCAAAGCTACCATCCCTTTGATTAACGAAGCTTCCATTCCTATGACTTACCAAAGCTACCATCCTTATGACTTACCAATGCAACGATCCCTCTGATTTCCTAAAGCTACCAACCCTATGACTTACGAAAAGATACCATCCTTCTAATTTTCCAAAGTTCCTATCCCCTGATTTCCTCAAGCTACAATCTTCTGATTTACCAAAGCTACCATCCAATTAATTTACCAAAGCTGCTGTCCCTCTGAATTACCAAAACTACAACCCTTATTATTTTCCAAACCAACTACACCTATGACTTACCAAACCTACCATCCTTATGTTACCCAAAACTTCAGACAATATGATTAACTAAAGCTTCCATCCTTATAATTTACTATTGCTAGCATCCTTATAATAATTTTCAAACGCCAGTTCCCTCTGATTGACCAAAACTTCTATCCCTTTGATTTTCCGAAGTTACCATCCCTGTGATTTACCAATGCTCCTATCCCTCTGACCTGTCAAAACTTCCATCCCTATAATTTATCAAACCTACCATCCCTCTGATTGACCAAAGCTTATGTCACTATGAATCACCAATGCTACCATCCCTCTGATTTTCCCAATGCTACCATCCCTGTGATTTAACTATACACTCATCCCATTCAATGACTATTACTCTATTATTTCCCATTACTGCTATTATACCTATTGTCATGTAGTTCGACCATCCTTATGGTTACCCAATGGTATCGTCCCAGTGATTTACCAATATATCCCTCTGATTTCCCTATGACACAATTCCTACTACTGGCAGAATTGTATTGATTGACGTCAGGCCCGGCCTTGTCTGTCGAACTCTCCTACTTGTGGAGATCAAAATGTTGGTTAATTTATCCGCTTAGTGATTAAAAAAATCCTACTACACTGTACGACGGTTTTGTCGTTAAACAGAATTGGCGGTGTTTCTGGCGTTTAGCGCGTTCGTGCAGAAATCAATATTTGTGATTAATCGGGAGAAGTAATACCTGGGTGAGGGCGAGACGCCCATCCTTGTGAGTCGACAGACGGTCAGGCTCATCTCTGATTCACGTTCAAGATCAAGAAATGTGATTAGCTGTCAAATAAAAAAAATATTGAAAAAAAAGTCGGCATGGATTTTAAAAGAAAAACACCATTTTATGACTTGATAATTAAAACAAATTAGAAATATTGAAATTCCCATCAAAACATAGATTATTGGATTAAAAGTGATTCAAAAAACTGTCAAATTAGCAGACATTTTATTTTCATTTTGGTTACCGGAAATGCAATCCCATGACCTTTGAACTTACTTTGGCCGGCATTCCTCGTGTAATTTCTGAGACTTTTAGTAAGTCGGCATAATGCTCTTATTGCTTATATTGATGGCATTGCTCTTTGGTACTGGCGTGGAATGATTGGTATGTGTGGTATTCCTGGAGACATGAGTCATTCACGACTCGGTACATACAACACAACCTGTATCATGCCTCCATTGTCCTCGATGTAGGCTGGGAATGGAAATTGTTTCAGTATGTCGGTATGTCTGAAAATGCCATATAAAGAACCATAGTACGTTTTACTTATATATATTTGTTCATCGATTTTATAAGCTGGAACCCGTCTTCTGCCATGATTCATGATTTAAGGGCCATTTACACGGTAACCTGGACGAGTCCTCTCCTCGACCTCCCTTCTCTACGCGTGTAAAGAGCATCCACCTTCCCAGAAAGTAAACGTACATTCCCTTAACAGACCTACCCGTATATTCAGTTCCCTAATTGTCGTATATCCTCTGATGTTGGGAGGTTTGAGAAGTTCCCTTTGAAACAATGGCGGCTCTAGAAGGGCCCTTTTTTGTTTTATGACGTTTGAAAATAAACGATCGTCACTGTACTAGTAGTGTAGCAGATTTATGAATCATTTTTGGTATAGGGAAGCGAAATCAATAGTCCTTACCATTCGTAGTTCTAAACATATCGTTTGTGCAGGACCGAAAGCGTCCCAGATAATGGTTAAGCGTTCATGACTATGGCCGATACATTTAGACTGTAATTCGAGACATCAACACTTCGTATAGCGTTAGATTAGCGGGGGATGCTATAGTATTGGAACATAAAACTATTACTATCAAATTGACAGGTAATGATGTAAATGAATATTATGAGACAAACTCCCTTTATTGCATAAGATTTCTAAGAGGCCGTTATCGCCAAAACCTATCGAGCACCAAATAATAGCAAATGATAACACTATTTGTAAACAGATAAATGTTTTCTTCAATTACATGGTATGAAATGTCAGTTATGGGAAGTTTTATTCCAATATTTATCTATTTTTCTTGCAGAAACCTTGTTAAGATGGCAGACAAGAAGGATTTGTTGGCCGAAGCCAAGAGTTTCTGCGACGGGCTCTCAAACGTTTTCATGCTGAAGAAACGCGATGCTCAGACGCGCCACCTGTTGGAAAAAGCAAAATCGCTGGTGGAAGCTCTAGCAGCAGAACACCAGAAACAATCTGGCACCAAATCAACACCTCCAAGACAGGCGCGAGGGTCAGGGGGCATGGGCCAGCTCTGGACAAAGTTGGAGGAACTGAAGCGTGAAAACGAGCTCTTAAAAAGGAAAGGTAAGGCACAGGACGACAGGGGGACTTCCGGTACGAAGACACAAGGTCCTGGTGAAGTTATTATTTCTGAGCTTCATAAGGCCAAACAGGAAAACGAGGTTCTCCGGAACCGGAATGAGAAACTGGAGGTGTCAAACCGCGAGATGGAGGCGGTGGCTGTTAGTGTTCAGGACGAGTATAAAAGGTCAAAAGTTGCCTTGGAGACAACACAGAAATCCATGGAGACCGTTCTGAAAGAATACCGCCACATGGAAGACAGTCTTAAATCAGCCAAGACCGAAAACGATACTTTAAAACAAAGGCAAGTTGCAATTGAAATAATTGATATAATTCGAATTCCCCCTCCCAACACTCTGTGTTGTTGTTATAATCAAACATTTATAAGAAACAACCCAGGGGGAAATAGTCTCTTAGTACAGGTTCTTTTTCATAAAGAAATCACTACAACGGGAAACATTCAAAGTGGTCCTTCAACACGGGTGGTCTCTTCATTGAGCTGGTCGCCTAAGCAGCTTCACTCTACTTTTAACTGTTTCAGCTCGATTGGAAGTGTTTGGGCAATATTATCGACCCAAGTGAAATCATTGTCTGTAACTAAAGTTCAATTTTAACCCCAACTTTAAAGAGCAATATCGTCACATTTTGTTCTTTTTCAAGAATTAAAGAAATAAACGAAAGTGCTGGAAAAAGTTTTGTTTTGCCTTCCAAGGACAAATTCCGGATGTATTTTTCCGGGGGACCGCTTCAAAAGAATTGAATAACGATGTTAGAATGTACAGTAAAATATCGTTTATCCAGAATAAAAACATTTTAAGAAGTAAGTTTCTGGATGTTAATGTCAAATCAAGAACATTATGTCCCCATTAATCCCAGTTTATCAGCAAAATAACTAAAACAAATTCAGAAATTAATTGTTATGGGTTAACTATAGTGTCCTTTGAATTATATGAAAAAATACTGCTTTGTTTACAGGGTGACCCAGAGCGTGAAACCATTGCCAACCAGCCCCAAACCATTGCCTCCGAAACCCGTGGCAAAACCAGTACCAAAAGCTCGTAGCATGAGCCATGGACATGTGGAGCCCCTGGACCGATGTCGATCCGGGAACCGGGTCCAGACAGAAACACTGAGCGAGCGCTGTCGTCCTAGCAACGTGGCTATGTTGTACACCAGCCTTGAGAGTCAGGAGTGGGTCGACGCGAAGGAGGCGCTAGAGGACGACTATGACTTTGAAGAGGAAAATATTATCCAGTTCCTGTGTACCATCCTCATGGTAATCGCTTTGTCGTCGTTCCATGCAGAGGGTCGTTATATACAATGTATCGTTACAGTGGGTCGTTATATACAATAGATCGTTACAGTGGGTCGTTATATACATAATATCGTTACAGTGGGTCGTTATATATAATAGATAGTTACAGTGGGTCGTTATATACAATATATCGTTACAGTGGGCCGTTATATACAATAGATCGTTACAGTCGGTCGTTATATATAATATTTCGCCACCGTGGGTCGTTAGATATAATAGATCCTTATAAGGGGTTGATTTGTACAATAGATCGTTACAGTTGGTCGTTATATACAATAAATGGTTACAGTGGGTCGTTATTTACAAAATATCGTTACAGTGGGTCGCCATATATACTAAACCGTTATAGTGGGTCGTTATATACAATAGATCGGTACAGTGGGTCGTTATGTACAATAGATCGTTACAGTGGGTCGGTATATACAATAGATCGTTACAGAGGGTCGTTATGTACAATAGATCGTTACAGTGGGTCGTCACATCTAATATATAGTTACAGTGGGTCGTGATATACAATAGAACGTTACAGTTGGTCGTTATATATAATATTTCGCCACAGCGGGTCGTTATATATAATAGATCCTTATAGGGGGACGTTTTATACAATACATCGTTACAGTTGGTCGTTATATACAAAATATCGTTCCAGTGGGTCGTTATATACAAAATATAGTTACAGTGGGTCGTTATATAAAAAATATCGTTACAGTGGGTCGTTATTTACAATATATCTTTACAGTAGGTCGTTATGTACAATAGATCGTTACAGTGGGGCGTCATATCTAATATATAGTTACAGTGGGGCGTGATATACAATAGATCGTTACAGTTGGTCGTTATTTACAATATATCGTTACTGTGGGTCGTTATATACAAAATATCGTACAGTGGGTCGTTATATATAATAGATATTTATAGGGGGTCGTTTTATACAATAGGTCGTTACAGTTGGACGTTATATACAAAATATCGTTACAGAGGGTCGTTATATACAATATATCGTTACAGATGGGCGTTATATACAATAGATCGTTACAGCCGGTCGTTATATACAATAGATCGATACAGCAGGTCGTTATTTACAATATATCGTTACAGGGGGTCGTTATATATAATATATCGTTACAGTGGGTCGTTACATACAAAATATCGTTACAGGGGGTCGTTATATATAATATATCGTTACAGTGGGTCGTTATTTACAAAATATCGTTACAGTGGGGCGTCATATCTAATATATAGTTACAGTGGGTCGTGATATACAATAAATCGTTACAGTGGGTCATTATTTACAATATATCGTTACAGTGGGCCGTTATATATAATAGATAGTTACAGTGGGTCGTTATATACAAAATACCGTTACAGTGGGTCGTCATATCTAATAAACCGTTATAGTGGGTCGTTATATACAATATATCGGTACAGTGGGTCGTTATATACAAAATATCGTTGCAGTGGGTCGTTATATACAATAGATCGTTACCGTGGGTCGTTATATACATAATATCGTACAGTGGGTCGTTATATATAATAGATCCTTATAGGGGGGCGTTTTATACAATAGATCGTTACAGTTGGTCGTTATTTACAATATATCGTTACAGGGGGTCGTTATATACAAAATATCGTTCCAGTGGGTCGTTATATACAAAATATCGGTACAGTGGGTCGTTATATACAAAATACCGTTACAGTGGGTCGTCATATCTAAGAAACCGTTATAGTGGGTCGTTATATATAATATTTCGCCACAGTGGGACGTTATATATAATAGATCCTTATAGAGGGTCGTTTTATACAATAGGTCGTTACAGTTGGACGTTATATACAAAATATCGTTACAGCGGGTCGTTATATACAATAGATCGTTACAGAGGGTCGTTATGTACAATAGATCGTTACAGTGGGTCGTGATATACAATAGATCGTTACAGTTGGTCGTTATATATAATATTTCGCCACAGTGGGTCGTTAGATATAATAGATCCTTATAAGGGGTTGTTTTGTACAATAGATCGTTACAGTTGGTCGTTATATACAAAATATCGTTACAGTTGGTCGTAATATATAATAGATCGTTACAGTGGGTCGTTATATATAATAGATCGTTACAGTGGATCGTTATATACAATATATCGTTACAGTGCGTCGTTATATATAATAGATCGTTACAGAGGATCGTTATATACAATAGATCGTTACAGTGGGTCTTTATATACAATAGATCGTTACAGTGGGTCGTTATATACAATAGATCGTTACAGTTGGTCGTTATATACAATAAATCGTTACAGTGGGTCGTTATTTACAATATATCGTTACAGTGGGTCGTTATATACAAAATATCGTTACAGTGGGTCGTTATATACAATAGATCGTTACAATGGGTCGTTATATACAATAGATCGTTACAGTGGGTCGTTATATACAATAGATCGTTACAGTGGGTCGTTATATTCAATAGATCGTTACAGTAGGTCGTTATGTACAATAGATCGTTACAGTGGGTCGTTATATATAATAGATCGTTACAGAGGGTCGTTATATACAATAGATCGTTACAGTGGGTCATTATATACAATAGATCGTTACAATGGGTCTTTATTTACAATATATCGTTACAGTGGGTCGTTATATACAAAATATAGTTACAGTTGGTCGTTATATACACTAGATCGTTACAGTGGGTCATTATATAAAATAGATCGTTACAATGGGTCTTTATTCACAATATATCGTTACAGTGGGTCGTTTGTTATTTACAATATATCGTTACAGCGTTACAGTGGGTCGTCATGTCTAATAGATCGTTACAGTGGGACGTCATATCTAATAGATCGTTACAGAGGGTCGTTATATACAATAGATCGTTACAGTGGGTCGTCATATCTAATAGATCGTTACAGTGGGTCGTTATAAATAATATATCGTTACAGTGAGTCGTTATATATAATAGATCGTTACATATGGTCGTAATATACAATAGATCGTTACAGTGGGTCGTTATATATAATATATCGTTACAGTTGGTCGTTATATATAATAGATCGTTACAGTGGGTCGTTATATATAAAATATCGTTACAGATGGTCGTAATATACAATAGATCGTTACAGTGGGTCGTTATATACAATAGGTCGTTATATATAATAGATCGTTTAAGTGGGTCGTTATATATAATAGATCGTTACAGATGGTCGTAATATACAATAGATCGCTACAGTGGGCCGTTATATATAATATATCGTTACAGATGGTCGTAATATACAATATATCGTTACAGTGGGTCGTTATATATAATAGATCGTTACAGTGGGTCGTTATTTACAATAGATCGTTACAGTGGGTCGTTATATACAAAATATCGTTACAGTTGGTCGTTATATACAATAGATCGTTACATTGGGTCGTTATATACAATAGATCGTTACAGTGGGTCGTTATATATAATATATAGTTACAGTGGGTCGTTATATAAAAAAGATAGTTACAGTGGGTCGTTTTATACAAAAGATTGTTACAATGGGTCGTTATATACAAAAGATAGTTAGAGTGGGTCGTTATATATAATAGATTGTTACAATGGGTTGTTATATACAAAAGATTGTTACAGTGGGTCGTTATATATAATATATCATTACAGAGGGTCGTAATATACAATAGATCGTTACAGTGGGTCGTTATATATAAAAAATCGTCACAGTTGGTCGTTATATGCAATATTTCGCCACAGTGGGTCGTTATATATAATAGATCCTTATAGAGAGTTGTTTTATACAATTGATCGTTACAGTTGGTCGTTAAATATAATATAACGTTACAGTTGGTGGTTATATATAATATATCATTACAGAGGGTCGTAATATACAATAGATCGTTACAGTTGGTCGTTATATATAAAAGATCGTCACAGTGGGTCGTTATATATAATACATCGTTTAAGTGAGGCGTTATATATAATATTTCGCCACAGTGGGTCGTTATATATAAAAGATCCTTATAGAGAGTCGTTTTATACAATTGATCGTTACAGTTGGTCGTTAAATATAATATAACGTTACAGTGGGTGGTTTTATATAATAAATCGATTCAGGGGGTCGGTATATACAATATATTGTTACAGTTGGTCGTTATATACAATAGATCGTTACAATGGGTCGTTATATACAATAGATCGTTACAGTGGGTCGTTATATATAATTTATAGTTACAGTGGCTCGTTTTATACAAAATATCGTTACAGTGGGTCGTTATATATAATATATCGTTACAGTGGGTCGTTATATACAAAATATCGTTACAGTGGGTCGTTATATATGATATATCGTTACAGTGGGTCGTTATATACAATAGATCGTTACAAATGGTCGTTATATCTAATAGTTCGTTACAGTGGGTCGTTTTATACAATAGATCGTTACAATGGGTCGTTATATATGATATATCGTTACAGTGGGTCGTTTTATACAATAGATCGTTACAGATGGTCGTTATATCTAATAGTTCCGTACAGTGGGTCGTTATATACAATATATCGTTACAGTGGGTCGTTATATACAATAGATCGCTACAATGGGTCGTTATATACAAAAGATAGTTAGAGTGGGTCGTTATATACAATAGATCGTTACAATGGGTCGTTATATATGATATATCGTTACAGTGGGTCGTCATATCTAATAGATCGTTACAGTGGGTCGTTATATACAAAAGATCGTTACAGTTGGTGGTTATATTTAATAGATCGTTACAGTTGGTCGTTATATAAAATACATCGTTACAGTGGGTCGTTATGTATACTATATCGTTACAGTGGGTCGTTATTTACAAAAGATAGTTACAGTGGGTCGTAATATATAACAGATCGTTACAGTTGGTCGTTATGTATAGAAGATCGCTACAGTTGGTGGTTATATATAATAGATCATTACAGTAGGTCGTTGTATACAACAGATCACTACAGTGGGTCGTTATATATAATATATCGTTACAATGGGTCGTTATATATAATAGATCGTTACAGTTGGTCGTTATATATAATAGATCGTCAGAGTGGATCGTAATATACAATAGATCGCTACAGTAGGTCGTTATATATAATATATCGTTACAATGGGTCGTTATATATGAAAGATCGTCACAGTGGGTCGTTATATATAAAAGATCGTTACAGTGGGTCGTTATATACAATAGATCGTTACAGTTGGTCGTTATATCAATATATCGTTACAGTGGGTCGATATATACAATATATCGTTACAATGGGTCGTTATATACAATATATCGTTACAGTTGGTCGTTATATAAATAGATCGTTACAACGGGTCGTTATATACAATATATCGTTACAGTGGGTCGTTATATCAATATATCGTTACAATGGGTCGTTATATCGATATATCGTTACAATGGGTCGTTATATACAAAAGATCGTTACAATGGGTCGTTATATACAATAGATCGTTACAGTGGATCGTTATATACAAAAGATCGTTACAGTTGGTGGTTATATTTAATAGATCGTTACAGTTGGTCGTTATATAAAATACATCGTTACAGTGGGTCGTTATGTATACTATCTCGTTCCAGTGGGTCGTTATGTATACTATATCGTTACAGTGGGTCGTTATGCATACTATATCGTTACAGTGGGTCGTTATTTACAAAAGATAGTTACAGTTGGTCGTAATATATAACAGATCGTTACAGTTGGTCGTTATGTATAAAAGATCGCTACAGTTGGTGGTTATATATAATGATCGTTACAGTAGGTCGTTGTATACAACAGATCACTACAGTGGGTCGTTATATATAATATATCGTTACAGTGGGTCGTTATATACAATAGATCGTTACAGTGGGTCGTTATATACAATATATCGTTACAGTGGGTCGTTATATCAATATATCGTTACAATGGGTCGTTATATATGAAAGATCGTCACAGTGGGTCGTTGTATATAAAAGATTGTTAAAGTTGATCGTTTAATACAATTAAATCGTTACAGTGGGTCGTTATATACAATAGATCGTTACAGTGGGTCGTTATATACAATAGATCGTTACAGTGGGTCGTTATATACAATAGATCGTACCAGTGGGTCGTTATATATAATATATCGTTACAGTGAGTCGTTATATATGATAGATCATTACAGTGGGTCGTTATATAAGATAGATCGTTACAGTGGGTCGTTATATACAATAGGTCGTTACAGTGGGTCGTTATATACAATATATCGTTACAGTGGGTCGTTATATACAATATATCGTTACAATAGGTCGTTATATACAATAGGTCGTTACAGTGGGTCGTTATATACAATAGATCGTTACAGTGGATCAGTGAGATTTTTTAAGTACCCGGAACGCCAATAGCTAGTTTTCACCTTTTTCCAAACTAAAATTCTGCCAAACTTTGTGGAAAAGACATCGACCTTTTTAAGAGTCATATCACATGTGCTTGAGACTATTGACTCGGCCACTTTATATTTTACATATAATGTTGCATTTGTACTTAAGGTTAATCGTTTTAGAAGGGGACAATTGCCCGATACAATTACATGTACCTGCGAATCGTAGTTGAAGCTTCTATCTATACATTTAGCAAAATCTTTACCGCGAGTTCAAGAATGATTGCTTTCTAAAATCCTAATGTTAGTGTTTTGCTGCTATTTGTTCATTGTGCTACATGTATACGTAAGAAATATTTGATTTCTGGTTCGGATGGTTAGGGAAGACAGATCTTAATTGACCTATATACTTGTAGGAAGCTTTTAAAACCTGCAAAGAAGTGCACGAGACCTTGAAGGCTACAATAGCGGAACTACTCAAGAAGCCCACCCTTGCTGTAAGTAGACATCTTGTAAATGATGAACAGTTATTACCCTTTTGTTGAAGCAGGAGATTCTCCGTAACACATGAAATCACTGTCGTGAAAATAGCGCTACCAACAATGCATACCATGTTATTTATTTTCTGATATAATGTCAGTTTGATAAACGAGAACATTTTATGAGAAATAAACGTCAGAAAATAACGATTTCAATCTGAAGTTTTCGGTTTAGTTGAACAGCATCACTAGAAGAATGAGAAACGGGAAAAAATCGATTCCGCAATTGCCAATAACATCAAAGTTTTGACTTTAGGCACAATGTTCGTTGATATGGAAGATTTCGATCTACTACTGGGTCATGGCATGATGATTTTTTGTCACGTGTTGACAGTCACATATTTGCTGTTTTCAGGTGAGCTTAGATTTTGGAGGTGAGATTAACTACCGATACAAACTTCCGGATTGTCTGACGGACGGCGTTGGACAGCAGCTTAGACAGCACTATGACGAGATTGAGAGTGAAACCATCGTCAATGTAAGTCTGTTGACCTATGACCTCAATTTTTCTGTCGTTAAATTATAACTCTTAACATGTGTAGGAACCATCATCAACGTCACGCTAAATAAGCTTTGACCTGTTGACCATGTCACCAAGCAATGACCTCTGAACCTAGGCTGCATAACTCTAAACTTTGGTATCTATAACTACATAATTGAACTGCTGATAGTAGGCAGCTAAAATTTGTCTTATACGAAACCTTTTTCTTGTAACTCCATGGAAATGCTAAAAATTAAACATATTATCCATCCGTCTATGTAACCTATGACTTCAAATGCTATGAACTTTGACCTGTGAGACAAGTATAAGCGAATCCTTGTCGCATCGACATGCACCTCAAACCGAGAAATGCATTACAGAAGTACCTTCACATATGGTTTACCACAAACAAGCTAACAGTTGGATGGTGGTGATGGTGGTGGTGGTGGTGGTAGTGAGGGTCGGGAGGTCTCATCTTTAACCTTTGACCTCTCTGTTTCAAATTGATATTAACATAGACTTTCTGTAGCCGAAAATATGTACCTTAGATATTTCTTTTTCAGATAATGTCAAAGAAACTTGCCAAAGACTACAGATCATTTGCGGAGAACAACTGTCTACAGCACAAATCAATTTACAAATATATGCACGCATGCGCGACGGTCACGTGGCAGATGGTGGTACAGCAGCCCCAGATGTATCTTACAGTAGACGACAAAAAGTTCGATGACGACAAACACAAACTGTGGTGGTCATGTGATCAAAAGAGCGCGAATAATGTGGACTTTTTCATATGGCCAGCTTTATACGACTATAAAAATGGCATCTTACTAGTGAAAGGGTGTGTATACGCCAGCTGATGACGAACTACACATGGTCATACCGAATAATGACGTTGCATACCAATGTGTACCCTAAATGATGACGTACAACACAAAACGTGAGCATATAATCAAGTGGCACGGGTTTGTGTAGCAGCGGTTGTGATTTTGTACATCATCAGTTTTATAACAGAAATATTTTATTAGGCATCGTACCAAATCGAGTCTGGAGCCAAAGCATTACTATCACCAGTATTCGTACTAATATATCTCCGTTGTGCAATCAAACGTCAGACTATTTGTGCAAAATATATCTTTATGGCGAGACATATGTGTATATCGGCAGAATTACTTTGCACCTGGTATGAAGTACAACTTTAGATAACTTTTTATAACTGGTCACCAATTCACTCCCAACAGTGTCATTAAATGCAACAAATATAACATGATAGAACTCCACTGGCAGTTAAAGGGTCTCATCGCTACCCCTTTTCGTTGCTGTTTGTAGCACGATACAACTCATACATCATCAAAAACTCGCTTCTAAACAATAAACGTCATTCCAAAAATTGTTCAACCCAAAATAATCAATATTTCATAAAAACTCCAAGCAACCAAAAACTACCACTATGACTTTAAGACATCTCCTATCACTCCTACGCAGCATATACCATTTCGAAACAAATCATATCGTCCAGCAACTCCTATAACGCCAAAACAACTCCCATCACTCCAAAACAACTCCTACCACTCCTAAACAACTTCTATGCCTCACTTTTGGCCATTAGTTGAACGTTCGCCCCTGTGAGGAAGGCTTTTGGTTATGTCTCCTGGCCGATACATACCAGAGTCTGTAAAAATGATATAGTTTCTACTCCTGCTTAACGCTCGGCAATTAATGAGTGGGACGACTGGTTCTCCCGTTGTCAGTATAATGTGTCCTGCTGGGTGTCTTCGGCAGTATGTTTCAGTGAGGTAGCACTATAAAGTCGGCATCAGTTCCGCGCTAATACAAGGAGACAAACACGAACATATCGCAGCCTCCCAAAACACACACGAATACACTACACGCATGCATCTTGCACACACGGGAGGCCGTCCTTTAATGAGCTGTTGATATGACTTAAACAATACTAAACCAAACTCAACTAATATATCACTCCCAAAGAACACCTTTCACTCCAAAACATCTCCTATCACTCCCAAACAACAATTATCACTCCAAAACAACTCCTATCAATCCAAAATAATTCATATCACTCCAAAACAACTCCTATCACTCCAAAACAACTCCTATCAGTCCCAAACAACAACTATCACATCAAACTACCACTTTTATCGCAATGAAGTAACTATTTATTAAGACGTCAATTTATAATTAACCCTTGAAACCAACAAAAATGTTACTTAAATCTAATCCGGTATATAAAACGTATCATTAAGAAAATATTTTCCGTTCGGAGAACCGAACTGATTCCTGTGTCTAAAACTAATTGCATACAATTTGAACATTTTGTGCTACTAACAAATGTAGAAAATTGTTCGAAATATATAAAAGTATGGTTCCGTCTGGGTCAAGGTCATTATTAGGAACAGATTTTGTGAGGAAGATTTAGAGAAATATTGCTAACATTCCTGCATGTCTAGTTTAAAAATGGTCATTAACAATTTATGGTGATTTAGACTCAAAATGGCCATTTAAGATGTTGATAACCTTTAAAGGTGAAAATATTTATTTCAAGAATTGCTTGTTTACTAAATATGATGACATTGCAGGGATAAAAACTGGGATTTTTACTGTTTATAACGTCACTGGTCGTGATAGATTCCCCTTGCTGGTTCCTTTCCCGAAAACAAAACAACGGATTTATTTGCGAAATGTGAAGATTCCCGATGACATCATTAGTTAATTACATTCAATGAGACAGGTAATGTGACCTTGATCCTGATAAGTCACGTCAGAGTAGATAGTTACCTTCTTCACATACTTTCAGAGAAATTTCTGGTTTGAGACAGGACTGCAATATCATCTGTGCTTGTTATTCACGAATTATTTGATAATTTAAGTATATTGTCATTTGCAAGCATGTCGTTTTGAAAGGTCAAGTCTGACAAATCGGGTTGTCGTGAAAGAACTAGGCTAAATGCACCAAAGGTTGTCAAAGCACGTGCTTCATTCTGATTGGTTATTTGAGAGTGGGCGGGGTTTATACGTATATCGTAAAGCTTTTTAATAAGGTATGTTAGCCAACATTTGGTGGGGAAACATTTATGCATGTTTAAATTGCCTTACATAACAAATATATATGTGTGTTTTTGAAATTAAATGTTGTAGTTTATCAAATTGTTTATATCAAATGGAATGTGACAAACTCGTTGAGCATTCGCAGATTATAATGGAACCTTCTGGGTTAGAAAAAAGTATTTCCGGACACTTCAATTTTTTTATATCGACTAGTGAGTTACTCGGAATATTGTACGGGAAAGCAAAGTGTCCGTACTAACGAGGTTCCACTTTAATCAATAAAACACCTATATGTAAACCAGGTCTAGGTAAAGACCCAAAGGTTAAAATACGGATACATCATAATTAAAGAGAGCATTTTAAGGAGTTAAGTATATATATATATATATATAATTTACTATGTACATATATATGTATACGTCAGCTGGAAATCTGATGACGTCAGTGTGTCGTTTGTAAAGGATCGTACTTTTAATTGTCGACAAGCTCCGCGATTCTATCCATACCCTGTGATTGTGATTGAAGTACAAACATTTTGAAATATAAGCATTTTATGTACAATATATGGTTCGTTGTTGTTTTTGTCGATCACACAGATGTGATTCCTGCCCTGGACAGTGGCTCTACTTTCTTTTATTTGCAACGAATGTCAGCAGATCACGTATTTTCATATGAAATGGCAGGAGTGAACTAGATGTGTTAACAGTTAATCACATAGCAGGACTGGTAATAATGCTGGCTCCCAGAACAGACAGGTTCGGATAGGACAGTGTTGACAAATTAAGACATAATAGCGGAAATGCTGGAACCAAATATCGGTCGGTATAGATAGGAATCCGGATTAGACAGGGTCTATATCCAATTTTGACAACACCTACCGTATTTTACTTACCTACCGTATTTTACCATTTTAACGCACCCAATAAATTGCTTTTGTGTGCAACTAAAAACTTACATGATTGCATAAGTATTTTTTGATAATGCAATTCTGGAAGAGTTCATTAATATATGTTGACTAGATTTTTTTCTGATGCAAAGGAGAAGTTAAGTTCCAGCCAATTACGAATTAATACCAGCGCAAACCAGCTGTAATTTTTCGTGACTTTTTCACATTTATTTTTTGACGCTTTCAGTAGCACATGGCACGTTTACTTCGTTGAATACGGTATGTATTGATCAACAGACAGAAATGAGACAATGCATCGGTGTCCATTTCAATTTTGAAGATAGTTTACCATGGGCAGTGCACACTTATCGATCAGAGCCCGGTTGTTCACAGTCTAGTTTTGACTTAACGTAACCTAAGCATAATTATTTCCTCTGGTATATTTTCCGTGAAATATATCCAAATTTAAAACTAAACGTAAAGTAAGAAATTCGTGTTCTTATACAGAACAAACATATACATATGTATAAAATATTTCATTTAAAGAATTCCAAAAAATACATTTTGAAGAGTAGCATTACCGACTCGATAAGCTGACCAGACTTTGAGAAACCGAGTCCGTATTGATTCCGGGGTGTTGGCGGAACAGATGGTGTCTCTGGCCCTTAATTTGGAACGGATTGCGGGGTTTTCCGTCAGGCGTAAGCAGAGTACTTTCCGAACGTACATATATGCAAAAAAAGTAAAAATCAAATAGGTTCCTCTGAAATAGAACCTGCACCAATTCTACTTACCCAAAGTAACGAAAGTACATACTATAAGTATTTGCATATATATTTTATACGTTAGTAAGTATTTTGAAAGTTCATGAGTCACAGGTACTTGAATCAACTTGTTCCTTCCTCAACACAACAGTAAATATCGGACGAGAGGAAGGACGACTTCTAACATATGTACTGAAGTACGTGTTGCTAACAGGTTATTTATTTTGAAGGTGTGTGAGATGGGTCAATCCAATATATTCGGAAATGGTAACATATAATACGCAATTATGACAGAGTGGTAAGTTTTTACATGTAATTTTTTAGCACACCATCATCCAGATGGTGGGTGTTCGTCCGTGGTCCGTCCGCCCTAAAATAATTCTTGTGATCACTATTTCTCAACAAATACTTAACAAATCGTTCTCAAATTTCCTATGTAGGTTTCCTTCGGCCCATAGTTATGCATGTATCATTTTGGGACTGATTGAAAAAACAAGATGGCCGCTAGAAAGCCATCTTGGATTATTACATTTCAAGTTTGTTTTTGCTATTCTTAATTCGGATGTAAGCGATGACCTCACTTTCAAGAATTTCTTTAGAACATTTACTTCAATTTATCGCCAAATCATTTATAATGCCTAAAGAAGAAATGATGGCAATATAACGAAATTTTGCTGAACATAGAACAAATGATGATCATAAGATGGTTAGCGCAATATCCCTTCTAAGATCTCTTGTTATTATAATACCCGGTATATGTAACATCACACTGATGGTATATAATATGGTCTATCGCTCGGCCTATTACTCCGAGGTGTCAGGGACGGAAGGAGAAAGAAAAAGAAAAAAATGATAGAGATCCTTAATAGTGTAGTGTTATATAGTTTTATTAGACGCATGAGAAGGAAGTCCGCAATTCTGCAGAAGAGCCACCATACTGTCCATTTTGTGAGTCCACAAGCTCGATTCAAACTATGAATGCTCATGTGCATTAAATAAAACACCAAGTTGATGATTTATTTGCAGACATTGATCGTTATCTTATCAGCAGGTGGATTTTATTTGTCAGTAGTATTTGTCGATACAAATATTCAGAGTTTATTCAGTTTTGATCCTTTACTCTTTTCTTTTTCATTGCCATATTTACATCTTTTTAACCGAATAACATTTTTCTATCAACATAGAATCGTGTCAAAAGTGACCGTGTGTGTAACTATCTATTTACTGGTGTATATTATATTCTATGTGGATAATTGGATACTCTTTGACTATAACATACATTTTGGTGAGCGATGTCTTGATCTGTGTGCTTTTTTGTCCCATTATAGATATAGCCCTGTAGACATTCTACCCGGAGAGTTTTCTAATAAGAGTTATCTCCCCTCTTCCACGGTTTTAGCGACATAGTCTCTGTGTGACTAAAGAAGCGCGTCTTTGTTCTGTCATTAGTAACTTATCAAATTGAAAGCAGCCGAATGACCCCTTTCCTAAGAAAATGTTTCGTCAGTGAACTATGAATGTGAAATGAAGTATGTTTCTAGCTTCTCAGATTATATTGATATTTCTCTTTGGATATTTCACCCATATATGCCGAAATGCATAGTATCAGAAAGTGTCATCTAATAAAGCGAGGTAGTGCGGCTTGTTTGATAATTTAAAACGCGTTAACTGACTTGCAAAATTTTACACCAACGGAGCCCCAGAAATTACAAGTAGCATTCGACTCTTCAGAGAAAACTGTTTTAGAGTGGTTATCTGTAGAATAAAGTTATCCTTATGTAGAATATTACCAGTAAACGTGAAAAGCATGTTAGTGTTTCATTATTAAGTCTGAGCAAATAATTTCGTCAGAGTTAAAGACTGATTTGGGTTTTACAACAAATTTGGTCAAATGACAACGATATCAACCTGTAGAAGGGCAACTCGAGAGCGAAATTTTGAGTAAAGTGCCATCTTACTCAACTGTCATAATGTTGTACGGTCATAACATGACACCCCGCGCGGTTATGATATA